AGATGGAGGGTGGCAAGGAACAGGAGGGAGAGCTGGTGCTGTGTACTAGGATGTCATCAGTGGCTCACTCCTTTCAGTTTCTGCCCAGTGACCCCCCTCACACACACACACAGTTTGCTTGGGGTTTGGGGAGACTGCTCCACTGGGTTATGTGATCATTATCTAAGATCACAGTTGGGCTCTGGCTGGTGCTATCTGGGACACAAGAGCTGAGGAGGGGCACGTAAAGGAGGATGCAGGAGGCGTTTGAATTGAGCAGCGGCCATCTTGGACTTGGCATGTGGCACTTAGAAGGCTGCAATGAGGTCAAAGCACCTGACACATCCCAGACAGTGGAGCCTGTGCCACCTAGAGGTGGGGCTATTGTTTGAAGTGACTTGGGGGCTCTGAATCCCACCCTACTGCACACACCAACATGGGCCACAGAACACAGGTTCTCAGGCTTCATAGAGGGTGTTCTGGGAAGGGGTGGGGTATTCCCTGGTCAGATAACTTTGGGCAACATTTGGTTAAACAGGTTTTTTAGCCCTTCCTATGCTGATGTGTCAAGCCAGTGCTCCAGGTGAGCTGCTTTTTTACAAATTAATTCCATCTGGGAGCATTTTACAGAACCAAAAAACACAAAAACACCTAGGTGGCAGAATCTGGATCAAATAGTCTGCATATGATTAGCATTGTAACATTTTAGGTCTTTGTGGTGGCCTGGGTCTCTAGAAATTTCTGGTGGCTGGGCTGGGAGTTCAAGATCATAGAAGCCTCATTGCTTGACAACCAGAAAAATGTTTGGTGATGGGAGACAGTTGAAAAATACTCTGATAAGTGCGGAGCTGGCCTACTTGGAAGGGGTGCATATCGTCATTTTATAATATCAGTACTCATTTGCAATTTGCAGACTTCTGGCCCTATTGGAGCTGAGTGGAAATGAAATGTGCATATCTTTGGTGCTTTGTGTGTTTGGTGGAGAACTGATAGAAGTCCATTGCTACGTTTTAGTGCAGTGGTTGTATTTGTCATGACTGCCAAACCTACCCTCAGTGGGGGTCCCAGTGGGACCCAAGGTAGGCTGCCAAAGCCCTTGCCGCCTCCCGAGTCGTAGCCCTGGCAATGAAGGACATTTAATTCACTCTATAGCTGTTTGTTGAGCGTATGTTTCTTGTGTTGCTCTAAAGACATGGAGGTGAACACAACAGAGGCCTCACTTTTGCAGAGCTTATGGTCCAGGGGTAGACAAGCTGCCAGTGAGCAGATAACCCACTGCAAGCTCCGGGCCTTGTATGCAAACACTCACACTTTTCTTTCAAATAAGGTGTTTTACCCTAAAGTTCTCTGCCCCCAGCTTCCTGTTCCCATTTTTCCTGTGATGCCTTGCACGGAATAAGGGCTTAATAGATATTTGTGATTACATAGCAGCTGGTGTTACACATGTGAAGAAGTACAGAGGGAGTTTAGTTCAAACATTTATTGGATGATTCTTACATGGTGTGCATTGGGTGGCAGGCTGGGGCACAGAACTGTTTTGGGTACTGTATCCGTAGTCTCCCAGTCCTAGGTATGCAGGATATAAGCCAGAGCATGCTTTGGGAGCACAGTTCAAACTAGGGGCTTCCTGAAGGAGATGGTGTCTATACATGAATGAGTGTTGACCACAGAAGAGAAGGTGAGAATGTGTTCTAGGCAGAGGAACTAAACCAAGCAGAAGTCCAGAAATGTGACAGAAGCAAGGGACAGTACCACAGTAATAGTCACGTGGGGGGTGGCCTGTTTGAAGGAGCTCCAACCCTAGTCTGGGAGGGCATTGCAGAGTTTTAGGCATGCATTTTACACCAGTGGTTCTGGCTGCTCTGCAAAAGCTGTACTTAAGGGGGTAAAAGTAGAGACAGAGAAGAAAGGTCTGAACTATGATGGTGGTAGCAAAGGTGGATCTGCTTGAATCTCACCTGGTGTTCCTGTTCTTTGGGTAGCTGATTTCAGATCTCAGGCCCCATGGTCCCCTCCATAACCTCCCTCTGCCCCCAGTTGAGCAACGTGCCATTTTCAGTGCAGAATTGTTCCTCCTTCAAATGGGACCTCTTCCAGCTCAGGCCTGGACCCTGCCACATGGTTCTGTTCTGTCCTGTCCCAGGGACCCACAGGCAGCCCAGGCTTCCCTCGGTTGCCCTCCTTATGTGCCTGCAGATCAGAAAGGCCTTCCTCTGCTGTCCAAATGGCTCTCTCTTCATCTAGTCCTTTCTTACTAGCCTGGCAGTCATTTTCTCTAGTGCCCTCTCCTCTTGCTCATCCCTTCATCAGGTATTTGTTGAATCCCTGCAGGTTGCCAAGTACGGTTCTCATACCACAGAACAGGGAGGGGAGAACCCAGCAGTCTCCAGTCTCCTGGAGTTGACATCTTAGTAGGGGAGATAGACCATAAATCCATAAATACATCCTGTATCAGCTGTTGATCCCTGCTATGAAGAGAAAGAAGCATCCACTTCCCTTTGAGGCCAGTCTTAAGTTTCTTCTAGGGACTACAGTGTGAGTTTTATGAAGTCTGCAGCAGTGAGGCCCCACCTCTCAGGCTAGAGGCTGTTAGAGACAGGGGCCGAAATCAAGCTCAGAGTTCCTTAAGCAAAAATCAGCCTCTGTTGACTTAACTGAAAAGTCTTGGGGGTGGGATTAGCTTTGGACCACCTGGATCCTGGGCCTCCAGCAGTAGGATTCAGTTTTCTACCCTGCTTCCCACTGGATTGGCTCAAGGCCAAGGTCCCTTGTGATGACAGGCAGCTGCTGGCAACGCCAGGGTTACCTCCTACCAGCTTAGCAGACAGAGAGCGCTCCCATTCCCCAGTAGCTCCAACAAAATTCTCGGACCTGAATCTCATTCACCATCAGCAGTCTGGCCTTATTCACGTGTCACAGTGTCCCCTGGGGTCAGGGCATGCAGTACTCCTTAGGCCTGGAGCCAGAGCTAGGCTCCATCTGAAACATGGAGGTGGGGGAGGGGTGCTTCCCTAAAGAAAATCGGCTGGGGGTGCTGGGCTGGCCAAAACTCTGGCTTCGTCCTGTGCGCCTTGCTGCTGGTCAGGAGTTGAACACAAAAGCAAGGCTAGGGCCTGGACCTCCATCCCCTGATGCTGGGCTTGTGGTGTATAGGGTAGCATCAGAAGGTCTTTGGGCTTCCCCGTGGTAGACAAGTGTGAGTAAGCTGCTGCCATCCCCAGAGTCCCTCCAGCATTCCTTTGCTTTCATTTATTGCCTAGCATAGGTATGTTCATTCATCCATCCATCCTGGTCTGTCGGGCAGCAACTATGCACCGTGCCAGGAGATGGCTGCTTAGGGAAGCATGGAAACCTTGATGGCAACCCTTACCCTCCTCCCTTTAGCACTTTGGTCTCACACATGTCATTCACTTGTGTTCACTGTGGGCTGTGCACAGTGAGGACTGTTGCGATGAATCTGACTCTGGTGTGGTGCTGCTTCAGTGAGCACTGCAGAGGAAATGGTCGCCATCAGTGGGCCATTGCTTCAGGGTGAAGACTGGCTTCTGTCTTGCTTCTCCAAGGACAGGGAGTTTGGAGGGATGGGGAGGAGAACAGGGTCAGTTTGATTTTGTCTCAGTCTTGTCCTTTTTCCTTAGACCTCCTCTTCACCCCATTTTTATTGTGAGTGATCGCTGTCACCTCCCAACTTGTCTCCCCATATTGCCCCTTCCCCCAAACTGTTCTCTTTTTAAACCTAAATCACCACCGTGCCTCCCCCACTCCTTTTACAACACTTTCCAAATCCTCGACATGGCCGCCATCCGCCCTGGGCTCCATGCCTTCACACCTGCCACTCTCACTGCCAGGCTCTTTCCTTGAGACTTCAGCACAGCAACCTCTTCTTGGGACGTTTCCGACTCTAGACAGCAGACTCCTACCAGCTCCCCATAAGCACTCTTATGAACTGTGAACCATGTCCCCCTCCTGCATAGTAGTCCTGCTGGAGCAAAGTTGTGTGAATGTAGCTTCCTGGTTAATCTCAGCCTCCTATGACTGGGGGCTCTGTGACAGCAGGACTGTGCAGGTGCTCCCCAAATTCATGACTCCCCTGGCTTCCCTGTACTCACTGCCCTTGAATGCTGAAAGAGACCCTGGGCACCCCACAGGGTTGATGAGCACACCCAGAGCTACCAGGCCCAGGCCCAGCCCCAGGATGATGAGGGGCCTCCCCCATGGGTTAAGGTGGTCCTCATTTACAATCCCCTAGCTGGCAGCAGAGGCTTCCTGGGCTGCCCCTGGATAGGATACAAATGGTGTTACCTGAGAACAACAGTTGACATAGCCCTGGTCCCATCATGTGACAGGACATCCCAAAGGGTTTTTTCCTTCAGCAGCCACGCAAAATGGACTCTCAGACTTTTGCAACTTCATAAATCCTTTTTCTGTTAATAGCTTCTCACTTAGAAAACCAAGTGGAATGTTGGGCCGGGATTCTCCAAAGAACATAAGCTGTGTGGGCAGAAATTGCAAACTGGTTGCCCCCTGGCCTCAGTTCGCCTGCAGATTTGAAAAAAATAAAAGTAAAAAACCCTAAACTAGTCTCCGGCATTTGACATTCAGGAGATGCCACATAAAGATCTGACTTCCCTGCTCCAAATTCCTTCAGAACCACAGTTGGTGGCGCTGAATAGCCACCTCTGATGCCTTGCAGCACACTACACTCCCCATGGCTACACTCCCCACGGCTACACTTCCCACTGCCCTCCCTTGATCCGTGATGTAGCCTGTTCTAAGTGAGTCTTAAAGCCTTCTTATTGGTATATAATATACACACACTCCTACCATTAAGTGTCAAATTGTCACAAACTAAAAACCCTACACCTCCATGTTATGAAAATGTTTTCTGAGTGATTTGATGTTCTTTGGAGTTACTAGTTTTATACTGGGTTTTTTGTTTTTAACTTATTATGAACAAATATAGTTTTGTTTACTGTATGAAATAGTGTCAGGGGGAAAAACACCAATTTTTCTTTTTGCAGAAAAACCTGCCATTGCTCCACCTGTCTTTGTGTTTCAGAAGGATAAAGGACAAAAGGTAAGGGGCTGGTATGTTCTCTCTTCATATTTGTTTTCTCCCAGAGATCTCTCTCCCCAGGTCACATGGCCAAGGATGCTTCTGCCCTTTAAGCCTTCACATTGAGCTTGGAGGAAAGAGGGCTGGTGGCTTCAGGTTACCATGGCGAGAGGTTGAGATAGGTTTGTGTGGAAAGGGTTCAGAGACCCTGCTTTAAAAAATAGTGGTAGAAAACTTTCTCCTCATTCCTACTGATTTTATTTAGAAATACTACTGTACATTAGGAAAGCTATTAGGAGAAAAAGGTAGAAGGAAGAAGAGGAGGGAGAGAAGGAGAAACAGGGAGGGAGAAAAAGTGGGGGGAGGGAAGAGAGAAGAAGAGAGAACTATGGTGGATAAGGGGGGGAAACAGGATCTTTAAAGATTTTAGGGGGATTTTTTGGCTCCATCCAACTTGGCATAAATGCATTTAGAATAATTATTGGTTGGCTTGGATTGTATACTTACCATCCATCTTTGTTGGGTTGCTTCCCCCTCTTAGATTTTAGATGTCTTGATCATACTGTTGGAAATACCTTGCCTAATTCATAGCAATGAACTGGCAGCCTATCAAAGGCCTGATTGGTGTAGCAGCCTCATTTTTACCTTCCCATGTTGTTTATCTTGAAGTCACAGGTTTTATATCTTCATCTGACAAATCAGTATGGAAGGTTGGGATTGTGTCCAAACTTAGTTGATGTTTTGTGGTGATACCTCCCAAGCTTGTGTGAGGATTCCCTCTATTTGTCAAAAAAATGAATGATCCCTCCTCACCCATGGCCCAGGACAACAGGTAATTTAATGCCCATGGCAAGATTTCAGAGTGACCAAGGGTATTCTGAAAAATGCCTTTGCAATCTTGTTGGTAAGAAGATAATTTGAGAATTGGCTCGGGGCTGGGGATCCACAGGCCTAGGTGCTCTGGTGGATCCCCAGTCCCTCGGTAGGGTAGCCGGCTCTGAGGTTGGGGCTGCTGGTCTGGTGACTTGGGACTCCCAGCAGTCCAGCTACTGCTTGTAGACTTTGTCATTTGGTCTGAGAAGAGAAGCCAGACTTTTCTTTCTGTGCATCTCAGTTTTCCTGGAAAACATTCAAGTGCTCTGCCAGGAAGAAAGCTTGTATATGGAGGGGCCAAGAGGGAGAAACTACCCCTGCCCTCTGCTCACACCCCCTTGCACTGGAGCCTTCTGTATTGGCAGGGGCTTGTCTACTAGGCTTGTTATCACATTAAACATTGCCATTGTTAATTCTTTGCTGAAGGAAGAATCACAAAACCTGAGGAAATGTTCTTCCCATTTTGTTTTGGTTTTCCAGGTGGTATTTTCAAGATACATCATCCTCTGCTGTCTCCTCTCCCCTGGGCCCTGACACATACATACAGCTTACTTACCTGTGTTTTTAATCATCCCTCCTTTGGAAAAGGGTCAGTCACTGAAGGGCTGGTGTGTTTCCTGTAGCTTTTTAGAAATGGATGTGTTCCTCTCCTCTTTTAGATGTAAAAGTCACTTCTGAGGTTTTCCATTAAATCAGGGTTTTCTAGAATTTTGAATTTTATTATGATCATCTTTTGAATCACTTTTAGCTTAAAACAGGGATCAGCAAATTAAGGCCTGGCACTACCACCTGTTTTTGTAAATAAAGTTTTAATGGCACACAGCCGTGCCCATCCCCTTCACAGTAGCTGAGGCTGATTTCACATTGTAACAAAAGAGTGAAGTAATTTGGACCCAGACCAGACCGGTGGCCTGCAAAGTCAAAAATATTTAGTATCTGGCCCTTTACAGAAAAAGTTTGCCGACCCTGGATTTAAAATAAACAATAGGAATTAATAATTCTTTAAACCTGAGGACTTTTGGACAACCAGCAGGATGAAAAACTAAAATGTAATATTTATTCAGCCGAATTTAAAATGCATTTAAAATAACTAATTCCTGTCTTACTACTGTTTTCACAGTTGAGGTCGTTCTGTTGCTTTGGTTTTTTGGGTTGTTTGTTAGGTTTTCTTTTTATTGAATTTATTGGGATGACATTGGTTAATAAAATTATATAGGTTTCAGGTGTACAATTCTATAATACATCATCTGTATATTGTATCGTGTGTTCACCACCCCAAGTCGAGTCTCCTTCCATCACCATTTATCCCCCCATTATCCTCTTCTGCCTCCCCCCATTCCCATTTCCTTCTGGTTTTGTTGCTTTGTAATTCAAAGGATAACTTGCATGTATTACCTTCGTAAAGTTGATGCAGATTATGTAAATGGATGACATTGAACCAGAAGAGTGGCTGGGAAGATGGTCATCTTAAAATGTACAAATGTAATTTTTATCAAAATACTGACAGAGTCAACACTAATGGCCTTCTAAAAATAACTTATCTGTAGCTCTTCAGAATTCAGCTCTCCACTTCTGTCCCAAGATCACCTAAAGGGTGTGGGAAGCCTCTGTTTTTAACAGCAGACGCTGGAGAAGCCTTTGTGACTGTCCTTTAGGGCCGCTTTCTGAGCTGTCAGGTAGATAGATAGTGGCCAAATGGACACAGAAATTCTTTTTCTATTGTTTATGACAGCTCAAGAGTAAGGCGGAAAGTAAACAGTAACTCAGGTAGCTTTGTTTCCCCTTAGCTTCCCTTTTCAAGGAAGATGGAAGGAAGGGCAAACCTTCAAGGAGCAGGCACAATACTTTTTGACAAAAGTGAGAGTTTGATTCCAGTTTCATTCTCTCTTTCTGCCTCATTCCCTTCTCACACTGCAGAAGCAGAACTGGGGTAAAGCTGTTGGGGCTGCTTTTTTCTGAGCAAACTTTTTTTCTTCTTTGATATTTTGAAAATTATAAATTATGAGATAAGTTAGAAGAATGGTACTGAAGACACTTGGGTATTCTTCACCTGGCTTCACTGTTAACATGTTTGTCATAAATGCTAGAAGCACTCAACTGTAATTTGCTCCCATCTGCTGTTTCTCTTTAAATACTTCTGCAGCTGTCTCCTAGGAATAGTTTGTCATTCTTCTCCATGGCCCCAGTACCATGTTACCCCTAAGAAAATGATCATTAATTCAGAAGTCTCCTCTATAAATTGTCCTAATTGTCCCCAAAATGCCCCTTTTAGCTATATTTTGAGCCACTTCTTGATCCACAAAGATCAGATATTCGCATTGTCACTGTGAGGCCATTAACTTTCTTGCCAGTAAACGGTCTCTAAACCATCCAGTGGTTTCAAAGAGCCCCTGTACCCCTCTTCAAAGGAGAGAGTACCATAGGCCCATCTATCGTTACTGAATCATGATTAAGATAAAAGATTTAAAATTTTTAAAAAACTTAAACTGCCAGCCTGGGTGTTTTTCTTTGTTTGGTGGTGAAACCACACAACATTTTCTCTCCGTCCCATTGATGGTCTGTGCATTCACAGCAAACTACAAATTGGTGCTAGTGGCCTGCTGATGACATCACAGGTTAAGTTGTCAAATCCTCTATTCTCCCATGTTAGAGAAAGCCTTCCACAATCTGAACTCCAGTCCTAACACACACGAATTGTTTTACATCTTCATGTCTCCAGGCTTCCTCGAGGTGGTCCTCTTCATGAAATGCTTGTGTTTACTTGCATTTGTGTGGGATTTTTTATGTTATTATTTTTTTAATCCTCACCCGATGATATGTTTATTGATTTGAGATAGAGGAAGGGGAGAAAGAGAGAGAGAAAAAAAGAAACATTGATGTGAGAAACATTGATCAGTTGCCTCTTGTACACACCCCAACCCGGGACCAAACCCAAGTTGACCGAACCCAGGTATGTATCCTGACCTGAAATCTAACCCGCAGCCTTTCAGAGTACAGGATGACTAACTGAGCCACACCAGCCAGAGCTATGTGCATTTGTTTTTTTAAAGCAAAAACAAAACCTTTCATTAACTGCCTTGAATGGAGGAGGCAGTTTTTTTCTTTTTAATGTGAAGAGAATTTGAATCTCCTTCGGTCAGTTGTCTTGTTGTTCATGATGATTAAATGTTTCTTTCAGCCCTGGCCAGTATGGCTCAGTTGGTTGAGTGTCATGCCATGCACCATTCACCAAAAGGGTACCGGTTTAATTCCCAGACAGGGCATGTACCCAGGTCGCAGGTTCCATGTGTATGAGAGACAACCGATCAATATTTCTCTCTCAAATCGATGTTTCTCTCCCCCACCCTCAAATCAGTAAGAACGTGTATATATATTTTAATGTTTCTTTCAGTTAGTTTATCTTCCAAACATTTGTTTACCTGAAGAGTGATGGCTTTGTGGTTACACTGGCAGGATAATGCCCATCTGGTAAAAAGACAGAAAGCAGTTACAGAAATGCTTATGAGCAGAAAGTCCTGTGTTGCTGAAAGTGCTGTATATAGTATGTTTAGACCTAATTTTGAAGTTTATTGTTGGTGTAACAAGTGTACCCTATGTGCACATTTTTGTTCTGTTCGTTGTTTTTGTCAGCCACATATATTTTAGGATATATGACCTAGGTTCCTGATCTGATGTCTGGTTGTAACAAACATGTTGAAAACCTACATGTCCTATCATGATTCTTTTTCTTCTAAGCTTGCAGTATTCCCCAGGCCCAACCCTCCTTAGCTTCTGAGATCTATCTTGGTTCTTTAGGGCTTACTTTTCTTGTCCAGCAGAAACACTCTGAGCCAAGGAGAAAATGCTGAAACAGCATTTGTATTTCTTTTTGGTCCTCTGATTTAGACTTCATCTTGATTCCACCATGCTATGAGGGCATTGGAACATATATGTTCTAAAAGCAGGGATTAAAAAAAAAAATCCAACTGGTTCTTATTAGAGAGATAGGCAGTTTCCCGCAAAGCTCTGGGTTTAATTTTCTCTTGTCGGGTGTTAAATCTCAAGCCATAAAGTAGCAGCCAACTAGTGCACAAACTGACCTTGGTGCCCCAGACGGGTCGGAGGAACAACTTTGGAAGGAAGGCCTTTGCATCTGTGGATCTCCCCTGGATAGGAAGAGTTGATTCTGGTGGCTTTTTAGATGTACTCATGAGTTAACATTGTGTTGCTATTGCTCTCCTAAGAATGTTCTCTTAAACCTTTTTTATATAGTTCCTTTCATCTGACAGGCTCACATGTTAAAAAATAGCCCCAACACCCTATCTAAAGAGGTCTCAGGCACTTCTCACTCAGAAGAAACGCGGCAGCGTCTATGGGGAGGCAGGGTAGGGTAGCCCCATGGTCATTTAGTTCACAAAGTAGGAAAAATGGCTTTGTGTGGTGGGCGATGCCATGTGGGAGGTTTGGGGATTGGAGCCCATTTGTTTCAGGACACCAGCTTTATAACCCATTTCTCAAGAAAAGAGTCTTGGCCACAGAGCTCTCAGCCCACTGAAGTGCGCCCCACTCCCCATGCCCTGAAGCCGAAGAACCAGCTCAAGTATGCCAGGGGTGTTGTGCTTTCAAAGATGAAGACTTCTGGAGCCAGCTTTCTCTTATCCTGGCTGTTTTCCGAATAAGCCCCTTCCTAAGGTGTTTGGGGTGAGCCTGGGTTAATCCCAGGCCAAAGGTCTCCCTCTTCCACTTAAACTCCCACCAATACAAAACCAGTTCTCCGTGTCTCTACCAGCTCTTTTGGTTACCCCACACCTGCACTCACTGAGATGAGAAAGCTCTTCCTTCACCTCAGGTTTAAGCAGAGTAAGTTGAAAGGTGCTGGAAGAACTAGAGTGAGATGCAGAAGCTTTTGGCCCTGGACACCTATTCTTGGTTGTGTGATGTCCTGGGCCTGCTTCCCCACCTTTCCTAGCAGACAGAAATGATGCTGAGGACAGCTCCCTTCCTCAGTATCTTTGAGGAGATATGTTATTAAGCTATAATCATCCTCGTTCCCCTCTTATAGAGGCACGGTCCCCATTTTCGTCACCAGGAGTTTTTTCCTCACTCATGGCCCATAAACAGAGTAGCTCCATGCCAGGCCTCCTTGCACTTTTGAAAATGAAGGTTCAGACTTTCTGCACACCTTAAAGCTCCTTGCAGAGTCAAACAGCAGCGAGTCCATGTTCTTTTCACTTTGTGCTGGCTTTTTTGGCCCATCCTCCTGGGCAGGAACTGCTGAAGGTCAAGCCATCTCTAGCCCTTCAATCCCCGCCCCCCTCCCCTGCCCCATGTTGCAGCCTTTATTTACATTGAAGGAAAAATTGTCTTTTTTGCTCCCAGTCCTCTGCAGAGCAAAAAGACTTGTCGGATTCGGGAGAGGAGCCTCGGGGGGAGGCTGAGGCTCCCCACCATGGCACAGGTCACCCCGAGTCACCTGGTGAGCATGCTCTAGAGCCTCCTGCCCCTGCTAGTGCTTCAGCCAGCGCTCCTGAAGCCCAGCTTCCTCCTTTTCCACGAGAACTGGCAGGGGTAAGTCCACCTCCACCGAGCATTCCATGGTCCAGGGGTCCCAACCCAGACTGGTCCCTTTCCCTCTGGGTCCCTCAGATCCAGACTCTAGATTAAAAGCAGCTGATAATAACTGAACAGGTGATCAGGATCTCTCCACCTCTCTTTAATTCCTGCTGCAGAAAATTCAGAGAAGATTAGATCCCCTTTACATGGAGACTTTCCTAGTTGGGGAAATAAATACCCATAGCAAAAAACTAGTCCTGTTTCCTGAAAGAGACACGAGGGGTCAAAAGAGTAATTGAGTAGTGGGTAGAATCTTCCAAGTCAAATTCGACCCCTTCTCCCTCCTTCCATTTTTTTCTTTCTCCTCTCTCTGAATCTGGGCCTTCCAGTTAAGTGTCTTAAACACAAGGAGCTCTGGCTTCCTTAATCTGTAGGAAGAGGAGATGTCCAACACAGATTGCTTTGCAAGACTGATTGTGTCTGGACTGTGGTGAGGCTGTGAGCTGCTTGTCTTCAATCAAAGCAGGAAGAAGAGAAGACTCTTCTTTGAATCCAGAGGGAACCCCTGAGCCCTTTCTCTTTGTATTAAGGAGGATTTGGAGATTATAGGTGGAGAAGATTGTGAACTCTCAAGAACAAGAAATGTCTTGAGTGTTTGGAGTTTGATAAGTTGGGAAAGGAAAACTCCATCCTCTAGGTACCCCCAATGTCATGACAGGGAACAGTGACTCTTAACAAGAAAACAGAGGACCCCACTCTGCCATACAGAATGCCAGGCAGCCTTCCAGGGCATCACAACCCTAGACCTTTAGCAATTTCTATGTCGTGTCACCAGTACCCTGTGTTCTTAAGGAAACAATTAAAATTCAGTTACAGGCACCAAACCATAGGCTACGCAGGAAGAAGTCATGTTCGGCCAAGGTGAGATTGGAGTCATATTTTAACACTTTGGAGGAATCTGTGTGGTGGATAAAGAAGAAATAGTTTTTATCATGAGTGGGGAGTGGCGGGGAGGCAGTCCTTCATGGCCTAGAAGTGGGTTTGGGGTAATGAAGTGTACTCAAAAGCTCAGTAAAGATTCCAGCCAGGAGGCATTTATTGCCAGAGTGTCTGGCATCACAGCCCTCACAGGAGAACTGACAGGGCAATAATTAGGAGGTGATCACTGTTTTGGTTGGTTGCAGTTCCTGGAACCTCCTCGGAGTCAGGTATTGTTAGTTATTTTGTCTTCAGCCTTCCCACACAGGTCATCTGTTCTTAGTGCCCTGAGAACAGATGATCTTCATGCGGATCTGCCTGAGACTCTGAAGCCTTCTGCTTGCTGCCTAATTTGAAAAGCACAACTTACAGAGACATCTCCAACTGGGAAGGTTGAGGGTTTTCAGCTGAGTAGCAGATGGCTAGATCGCAGAGGTTGTGTCATGGCAGCCACTCTTCCAGGCCCTTCTCAGTTCTAGTGCCCACTTGGTAAGACTGGTGGACCCTTGCCCCCCAAAAGGCCTGTGCAGGAAGTGCCTCACCTTTTACCTGTGGCCAATCCAAATGTTGATCTCTGAGGAACTCAGTTTCTCTGTTCTTGTGGACTTTGGGTTGGAGACTCTAATCCCAAGAAATTCAGTTGTTCCCCAGCCTGACAAATGCAAGGTCAAGTGTTCTAGCAGGGAACCTCAGGATGGGTTGTGAAGTCACCGTGGGAGGGAGCCAGAACTCAGGGGAGCAGCTTATGAATGGAGAGCACAGCCGTAAAGGCCTGCATCTGACATACACACATGTTGTTTCAGCATTCGTAACTAGAAATCCTCAGTTCCGTCACAAGTTCCATCAGCACCACCATCGTATCATTTGGGGACAGCTCCTAGGGCTCACCCAGGGCTCTCTCTGTGGAGCTGTCTTCAGAGAAAACCCTGGCAGGTTGCTAATGGCTCCTGTCAATTGGCTTTCCCCGCTGACTGGGCATGTTCAGGCAGAGCTCACTTTGGTTTTTGGGTCAATTAGGGCATAATCAAGGCAGATGAGCCCGATCTCAGCTTCTCAGGCTGAGATTTTCCCTTGGTTAACTCATTGCTTTTGCATCAGAACAAATTTGGATCTTGCTCTGTACCACACCAGCGTTCAGGAAACCGCGCACATGTTACTCAGCAGGTCTCATCCATCATGTTCAGTCTCCTCTGTGCCACGATCCCTGGGGGAATATAAAGCACGAGCTCTTTATGGCAAATAGTGGCTTGCTGAATTGTTATAACGGGCCCTGATCGTCTTTCAGTCTCATCAGCACTCTAGCCATGGGAGACACTGTACCAGAAAAAAGTATATGTATCAGACTTCCTGGCTCTCAGCAGGCAGTTTAAAGAAGACCAAACCACATTCAGATTCAATTCTCTTACCCAGAAGAAGCGAGCAGCTTCGTGCTTACCCCGATCCTGGCTGAAGTCTGCTGGACTGAAGCTCCAAGCCAAGGTGCTGATGAGCCTAAACTATGTTTATGAGACCCACCAGAAGCTTAGAAAGATTCTGGAATGAACTCCCTGGCTGGACAGCTTCCCTCATCTTTCAGCTCCTGCACAGGAATTGACTTTTGTTCTACCCCCACCCTACTTCATGTCCTTGGAGGCCACTTCTGTTTTTCTTTTTTCAGTGAGCCTTTTTGTAAGAATTTCTGAGCTGGTTGCCTCAGTCACAAAATAAACAGCATTGATTTGGCCCATAGTTAATATGAAGACAAGGACACAATCAGCAGCCCTTTTTTTTTAAAATCCTCACCCAAGGATATGTTTATGTGGATTTTTTTTTAGAGAGAGAGGGAGATAGAAACATCAATCGGTTTCCTCCTGTGCATACCCCAACTGGGGGTTGAACCTGCAACCTAGGTATTTGCCCTGACTGTGAATTGAACCTGCAACCTTTTGGTGTACAGGACAACACTCCAACCAACTGAGCCATCTGGTCAGGACAACAGGCCCTGCTCTTAATTGATTTTTCATCCCACAGCCAGCTGGACTTTCTAACTGTTCATTCCAGACCACAGTAACTGAGGCCCAGGAAGACCAAATGGTATCCGGTGTTTTCTGGAAGGAATTTATCTGACTTGGTCTTGCTTTCTGGTCTTTTCTGGGAGGTTAGGAAGGTAGTGCTTTTCATTTCTGCATACTACCTGTTTGCCTGTGTCTGTGTCAGATTCTGAGACATAGTCTCCAGCTCCATCCCCTTCCCTGGACTGGCACCTTTGTCCCCCTCGAGGCCATACCAGGCAGCCTCACGAGAGCCATGGTTTTTTGGAAGAGAGTGATACTTAATAAATGTAATGATTGTAATTTTTACAATTTCATCTTTTATACAAAGAACAGAAGCTTACCATGCCTGTGTTCCCATCCTGGGTTAGACGTTATCCCCGATTTTGTACTTGGTGACAGGGACTTACACGCCTCCCAGAATGAGCTGCTTCCTTGGAGGACCCAGTGGCTTCTGAGGGGAGAAGACTGCCGCTACCTGTCCCCGCCAGCTGGCAGGGCTGCCGGTGCCACCCTGAAGCACGCAGTGAGCAGCTCCTTTGATTCTTCTGCAGGCTGGCCTGCTTACCAGCCCGCAGCCCCTCCACTGTCTCAGAGGACTTTTCCATCTTTGTGAGCCTGCTTCATTCGTTCACACTGTCCTGAAGCCAGCAAAATCAATTGAAGGGTTATCTTTGTTCTGCTTTCTCTTGGCCTCCTTTTGTCAGTGTTAGTTGGGGATATTTTCATCATGGTGTCCCAAATGGGTGTTGACCCCAGCATCCCCCAGGTGTCATCCTCGCAGAGGTGGATTCTACTGTGGGGAGAGACAGGGTAGAAAATGGGGCTTCTAAACCCTGCTTCTGATCTCCTCCCCAGGAAGCACAGATCCTGAAAATCTGCTCTAGAACCCTCCTCACATGAGTCTCTGTAGTGGTGGTTTCTGAACTTTGAGCTGCAGACTTCTGGGGTCCAAGGAGTTGGAGTCCCAGGCATTGCTCTCTACTGACCCCTGAGTAGCCACTCCCTGGGTTGGGGTGAGGGGTTGCCTCCAGACTGCTCTGACATGGAAGAGGTCCTGAGCATCAGGCTGCTGTCCAAGGGAAATGTTGGTGAAGATGGCATTAGCCTTGTGTGGGGGTTGGGGGGGCGGGGATTGAAGTGGGGTTGCTGCACCACTGATCTTCTGCCAGACAGCATGCTCAATCCTTCAGCAGGGTGTAGGGGCAGGTTGCTTCTCATATGGACAGCTGTGGAGGATTTCTAGAAGGGTCAGCATATCCAAAGGCATGCAGAAATGACTTCACCTTACATTCTGTCTTCCTGCTTCCTTGCACTAATTTCTTTTGAAAAGAGTTGCCAATGTCAGTTTCCTCATTGCTTCTCAGCTGTTTCAGACCCCACAGGAGGTTCCAGCACTTTTTGGAAGGTGGTCCTCATGGGGGAGTCTTCCTGTGTTTTCCTTCCTAGACCTTGGTCTCCAAGCTTTTCCAGGACCAAGAGGCCCACCGCATGCCTGTGGATGCTTCTTCAAGAGACTTGGGGCATGGATTTGAGGGTCTCCTGGAGTTGGGTTTAGGCATGTCTGAATCTTGTTTGGCCAGGCAGCACCTTTTCTTCTCAGGTTACCTAAGGGGCCATAGTGGAAGATATGGGCTCCATTTGTGCAATAAATACTTGTTGAGAGTATTTTGTGCACTGTGTCCTGGGTGTTGCATATATGAGCTATGAGCATAACAGACAGGTAGGGCCTCAACATAGCTAGAGACAGATACATTAGATCATTTCCAACTGTGATACACAAAACATGGTAGAGGCCCAAGAGAGGCTGGAGGGTGGGGTGGAGAGGAGCTGCCTCCGCTTTCTGGGCAGTGAGATAGACATGAGCACAGGTTCACCCTGGAGGTGGTCAGGAAAGGCCTTGGAAGCTACAGTGAGTGGATGTGCAGGAAAAGCATCCCAGGCCTTGGGAGTAGCACATGACAAAGGAACCAATATTGAGGCAGGAACAGTGCTGACATGCTCAGAAAACAGCAAGGAGACAAGCTGGAGTATGACAGCAAGGAGGGGTGGTGTGGGATGGACCAAGGTCAGCATTCCTGGCCCCGAAGAGGTGAGGCTAAATAAATCCCCAGTGGCTCCTGGTCTGGGGAGGGGCTCTTAGCACCATTCAAATTCTTAAGTAGACTCAGGTGCCTGAGGTTTTGGGGTATCATTGGCAGAGGTAAGAAACTTAGGTATCATTAAAAGAGCCCAAAACATGAAGCAAAAACTGGTAGAACTGAAGGGAAAAATAGACAATTCAGTCATAACAGTTGGAGACCTCAGTACTGCACTTTCAGTTATCAGTAGAATATCCAGACAAATGGATGAGAACAGTGAGGACTTAGCAGAGTGCACTTCTCCCTCATAGGCATGAGGAACGTGCTCCAGGGTAGACCACTTGCTAGGTCACAAAACCAGTCTCAGTAAATCTGAAAGGATTGAAACCATAGTCTTCTCCAACCACAGTGAAATGAAATTAGAAATCCATAGCAGAAGGAGGCCTGGAAGATTCACAACATGGAAACTGCCGGAGATGGCCAATGGGCAAAGGAAAGCTAGGCATGGAGGCCTCTTGAAATTGAGATGCTAGAGGAATCTCTTCTGTAACAACTGAGGAAACTCAGGCCTGACAACTTCAGGGCCACTGGCCGGGATGCTGGCTGTTGCCCTGTGCATAATTCTAGAATACAGGCCTTCATTGCTTCTCCCTAGCCTTTCACTGAGCAAATGCTGATCAAGCTCCTGTTGTGTGGTGCCAAGGGCCAGCCCCCTCCTGGAACTTAGAGTCTAGCAGGGGACCCTGACACCGGTCGCACAGTTGGAATAAGGGAGCAGTGAGGTCAGAGGACCAAGGGGTTTGTTCTCACATGAGAAATTAAGAGATACCTGAGGGAAAGGACAGCATTAGTGGATGAGGGGGCAGTGTCTACAGAGGCCAGAGAGGGTGGCCATTTCCATGTCCCAAAAGTCAATCCAGGAAGTGGCAGATCCCACAGGACCTTCAGAGCCAAGGGACTTGAGAATAGGGATGGGGATGCGCTGAGCCTGCTATGAAGGGAGGGAGACCACTTGCTAGGTCACAAAACCAGTATATAGGGGAGGTACCTGGATCCTGCACCTCGATGATGTCTCCTGAGGAACGGGATGACCCTAGAGGAGGCTTGATGTGCTGGTAACACAGCTCTTTATTATCAGATGTCACCCTAGGCCATGGTGTCTGCTGAATCATAGCACTGTGCGAGTACAACTCTCAGGCCCCACCCCCCCATGCTGAGTCCTGAGCTCAGTAACCTCCTCTTAACCCCTATCCAAGGGCCCCCAAGTCTGGCCCCTCACCTCCCAGCTGCCCCCCAGGACATTATTCCACATCCCAACTCTCCTCTTCATGCCTGTCCTGAGCTTTCAAGCCCTGCCCAAGGATATAACATCCAGCAGAAGTGAGCTTGCTGGGAGAGCATGGCCACCGCCAGGTGTGAGCTATGAACAGTGATAGCAAGGTTGGGCACTGGGCTGAGCTGATGCCACCTGCTTATCCATCTGTCCCCTTGCCACTTCCCTGAGGGGGATGTGCCAGCACCCTCTTCTCCAAGTGAGATAAATTGCCGAAGGTTTCCCTAGTCGGTGGGATCTGCCACTTCCTGGATTGACTTTTGGGACATGGAAATGGCCACCCTCTCTGGCCTCTGTAGACACTGCCCCATCATCCACAAGCCTCCAAGAGGGGGATTGAGCAGTCTCATGCTCCATTCTCATGTTCCATTTGGACCCAGTGGTGTGTTCACAGCTGCCCCAGGGACTGTTGAGTAGCCCCTGTTGTTAAGAGTTTGTGTTCCCTAGCATTTGGATGGATGGTCTCCTCTGAGCCTCCAATCCCCTGAGACACACCTGGGGACAGTGTCATCCTCTCCCCTTCACAGACCCTTCCAGGGAGCTCTTAAGACACAGACTTGGAGCAAGAAGCCCAGGTTGGTTTTTCTGACTCAAACCCTAGTAATTGCCTCACACAGGAGGGAGGGTCCAGGTTGGGATCCTTTCCTTACTGTCCAGGCTCTCACCATCCTTCAGGATGGGCCAGTTCACACATTCACCCACAAGCTAAGGTGATGGTTACATTTTTAAAAGATTGTAAAAACAGAATATATGATGTGGCTGTCAGAGCTGGAAATACTTTCTGGCCCTTTATGAGAAAAGTATGTTGCCTGGGCTTTAGGGGGTCCTCACTAGTGCAGAATCTGAGGTTCCACCTTCAAGAGGAAACGAGAGAGGGTGTCAGGTCACTAGCAAGAGTCTAGCTGCCCGGTCTTTAGGAGGGTCCCTCCAGCTCCCTCGTCTACAGTTTAGTTGGTGCAGTAACTGCCTCCACACGTGCTCCAGTGCTCTGATGCATAAAAAGCACTTTCACATGCACCGCCTCATTTCAACCTTCACAGCTCCTCCAGGCAGGTGGTCGTCATTTGGCTAAACTTGAGCCTTAGAGGCTTTTCTGAAACTAAGAAAACTGGCTCCTCTGCTGGCTCTTAAGTGCCCCAAGAGGAGTGATACTCACCTCTCCACATTTGTTTTCGGCTGCTTGGTTCTCAAGAAGCACAAGTCCCTAAAAAGAGACATATAGGAGGGATTGTGTGTTATCCTGGTTGGGAGGGGACTCATTTCAGGCCTTTAATTGCTAGTTGTTCACATTTAAAACTTAAGGTGGAGCTTCTTCAGCCACCTTCTCTCAGCATGTGTGTTTGGTGGGTTTTGTTGTCTGCTAAATTGTTCTATTCTGAGCACTTTGTAGCAGACTTTGATCCAAGGCATTAAAGTTCTGAGTTGCTCTGGAAACAATAACATACCTTGAAATAGGACAGGGTTCCTTACCATGGAACATGCCAGGGCAAGGAATGGAAACGACCACAATCCGGTGTTAGGCGACCATTTTAAAATTAAACAGTCCAGCTGCCCTTCAGAGGGAAGAACAGGTTACTTTCCAGCTCTTGGCAAGATGGGTTTTGGCCAGATAAAGTTTCATTGTGTTTGAATTTGGGGGTAACATACCAGTTAGCTATAACCTGTGGAGAAACAAACCGATCCTTGTGCTGTAAGTACACTCTCAGTCATTAAGAGGATTCCTTGGCACATGGCCTGGTCAGCCAGATGCAGAAGGTTAATGGAGGAGTTCTGAACATGACGTTGAAAGTTCTTCTGTTACTTGGTGCCTGAGCTAAGGGAGTTGGCCCTCAGTACTGTGTCTCAGGATCCGTTCATTACGGAGCTCATGAGCTGTTAGGTGAGAGGGCAGCTTCACCCTGTCTTCCACCCTGACGTGTGCTCTCGTTTCAGAGGTCAGCTGGCAGCTCCAGCCCTGAAGGTGGAGAAGGTGAGGAAACCTCTAAAATGTTTCACCATCTTTTATTGTAAAAGTGGAAGGAGCCTGATTTTCTCCTCATTATTTTCTGTAGATTCTGACCGAGAAGATGGAAATTACTGCCCTCCTGTCAAGCGAGAAAGGACGTCCTCTTTAACCCAATTCCCACCTTCACAGTCAGGTAACAGCTACAGATCTTTATTGAGTGGTAAAAGCTCCCATGTTTATAAGCCCACTGTTCTCCTCCAACATCTCATGCTCATTGTCTGTCTCCTGCCCAGATCCAGTTAGAATCAATCTGAGACTTGGTCTCTGTCACGGTAAGGTTAGAGCTTGCCCAAGGTGTGGCACCAGGTATTCCAGTCTGGGATCAGTGGCACTTAAGTAGGGGCATGACCTAGTCGACTGATAAGGAAGATGCACCAAGAAAAATTGTCCCTCTGAAATGAGAAAGGAACTTTCTGAGCCCTTTTGGGGCCTCTGACCATTAATCACATGTCTGCCTTCCAAACGCCACTGGGAAGTGGGGGGTTCTCCTGACCCTTCTTCCATGTGCCTAGAGCTTGGTGGTCTAGTTGAGAAGTACACACACACATACACATAGTACATAGTGAGCTGAGCAGTCCCAGCAGGCACTTTGGCAGTGGACTGCCTTGAACTCCCAGGGGAGAGGACTAGGTAGAGCCTTGAAGGGTGGGCCAGGCTGGGCCCCTGTGGAGGTATCTGGACTGGGCATGGTCCGAGCACATGCACAGAGGCCAGAAGACCAGCCAGAGCTTGTACAAAGTCTGGTGCAGGAAAGAGGCAGGTACCGGGATAGAGAGAGACACTGGGGTTACTTAGAGGGGACTCCTCGAGGCTGGGGACCTCCCCTGCAGATTGAAGGGTCAGTGCTGCAGCAGGGCTGCCCCTTCTCCCTACCTCATCTGGTCTTGATCTATTCTGGTATTGTCCTGTGTTCTCTCTTGGTCTCTGTAACCATAACTTAGAGATACATGTGTTTTGGGAAAGGATCTCTAGTTAGCTAAGTTGAAGTTCATTCTTGCGAAGTTCATATAAAACATTTACAACTGTGAACCTTAAGGATATCACTTTAAGGGGAAAAAAAATACTCTTGGAAGGTTTGTTTTTGCTTATAAAAGTAATGCAAACTTTACATGAATAGTCAGTGCAGAAAGTGAGTGTCCTCTCAAGGTTGTCTCTATAACACACTTGATTTCTTACCTATTTCCCTTAACGCTTTTTTTGGACATTGCCTTGTCCTTTTTCATGACTGCATAAAACCCTCCCCTGAATGGATGCACTTTCGGTGCCATTCAGGCATTAAGGAACTGTCCAGATGGTTTGCAGTCTAGGCTGCAGTGGACATCCTTTTTTAAGGGCCTCTGCCCGCTTGTTGCATGGGTGTTTCTATGAAATGAGGAAGCATCTGCTTCCTGGCTATGATTGTGTTCCTTCCGTTCACTGTCTACTGCTGAACCACACTTTCTCATCAGGAAGGTATAGTAGAGAAGAGACAAGGTGATTTGTGCTGTGGCACTAGGCTGAAAGGGCAAAGGACCACCAAACATTTTCTCTCCCTAGTGCATTGGTCTAGGAGATAATCAGCTCCCAATCCTCAGGGGAGATGGAAAGGTGAGCAGTGCCAGTAAGATCTGAAACAGGTCCCAGGGGCACAAGGACAAGAGAGGAGACCACAGTAGACCAGAATGAACTTGTAGACCTCAGACAGAGGCCATTAGGCTGGAGACTCCCCCATTCTTGCTGTAGAGAGAGTGTGGAGTGTCTAATGGCCTTATTCATAATGCTGACCCCCACCTCCTGCACGATAGTGGGTCTTGGAGATCGACCCCTCAGGTTGGAGAGGTGATCTGGGGCATGTTTGCCTACTCACTCTGTTTTTCCTCTTGTTCCCTCCCCTGCCTGCACCTCCTTGCTGACAGTATCAAAAAACAATGTTTTTATGCCATCAACCTTCTGCGAGCCATCTGCAGGCAATTCTGACTCAGAACCAGGTGAGCCCTCACATCCCTTTGCCTTTCACAGCCAGTCACTGGGGGTTTTCCTGGGATGAAAAGCAGTTGATATTGTAAAATAACAACAGAAATAGGCAATTTGAAATCAGGGTTCTTTTTCAGTTCCTAAAAGTTTCCCAACTATTCAGCTTGTACATTTGGAATCCAGTGTGAGAGGCTTCATAAGCCCTTATTTCTGTTTCTGTAAGTAAGGCCTGTTTCCAAGGATTTTTACATCCTTTTTGGGGGGTAAAGAGGTGTATTACTCATTTTTCAAAATTTTACACAAGTAATACATTTCATATCATTTTTAAAAAGGCAAATTAGAAATACATAGACTTAGAGAATTAACCTGCCCCTTTCCCACTCATTAACATCCCAAAGGTAACTCATGTGAAATGTAATTTCCAAGACCCCTTTTCTGTGTATTAAATTCTCACTTTAATTAGCATTGCTTAGATGTGTTCAGATAAAACATATATTTAATCATGGCTTTAAAACTTTAAGGAAAACAGCTTGCTCCCCTCTGAAGAACAGGGAGCCTGCCTTTTTTGGTCTTTCGCAGGAGAACCAACTCCAGTAATTCCTGAAAGTTTCTCCTCGTAAAAGATTTAATGAGCAAGTTTAACCACCCGAATTCTGTAACCCAACCTGCCTTATATAAATTCATTGCCTACTTCAAAAGCATTGCGAGATAACTAATACTTGGGCATGAGAGTGATGTCGAGGGAAGAGGCAAGTCTTTATAACTTTGAAGATTGATTTGATGGCACCATTTCAAACAGTTGAATTTGTTCTGACTCTAAAAGCAAACTGTTTGGAGTTGACTCCCCTTTCCTGGTTCTGAAGAGGAGCTTGGTTTTTAAAGGTCTTTGGTTGTACCTGGGGCGCTGGCTTAGCACGTTGTGTTTTGAGCTGTGGGGGCAGTGTTAGCCTTTGTGAGCCTGTGTTGGTCTAGGGATCAGTAGCTGAAGACACACATCTTGATCCCTTTATGCCGTGGAGTTCTATTATGAATCTCACAACCACCTCTGAGGTCTGTGAGTGACCACCTCGCTCCACCCCTAAAACTTTTATCCAGCAGCACTGAGAGCAGGGCAGCCCTGAGAAAGGAAGCAGCTTAGTCTGCCTTCAGAGGCTCTAACACAGGTACCTGATACAGCATGTCAGTCACATTAGACTTCCCTGCAAAGTGAGCCTCATATCCTTGCCTGCCTGCCTGTCTTTGACGTTTTAGCTTTAATTTGGGGGGGAAAAAGTAAAACTTAATGGAAAATTTTTATAAAGCGCTTCACTATGCCTTTACTTAGAGAGGCTCCGTGCGTTCTTCAGAACAAGATTACAGGCCAGTTATTTTAGAGGAGTCCTTCAATGGGGTATGTCTAGTGTTTCCTGGTGCTTCTACCCAGCTTGTGTATTTGGGGCTGGAATACCACAGAAGTGCAGCCGTGCTCTCCCAGTGCACCCCATAGTGGCATACAATGTGTACTCATCCTGGTGCTGGCAGGGTTCACTTTGGTTACTTGATTAGGGTGAAATCTGCCTAGTTCCTCCGCTGTAAAATTATTTCTTCCCCTTTTGTCATTACTGTCTTCTAGAGAGATACTTTGAGACATGAGGAAATCTTCTCTCACTTTGCCCTCCTGTATTAGCATCCATTGATTTTCTTGCTTGAATTCATTATTACTCTGATGATGGCCAAATGGAGATTTTCTGCCCCATTATTGCCCCAGCGTTTATTAACTGGCATTCTACTGTAAGAAACAGCTTTCTTTTCCTCACTTTACTTAGTCATTTGTGTCAATATGGATTTACAGATTCCTATTTTAGTCAGTGGATTATAATCTGTTATTAGTATTTATTTTAATAGTCAGTTTTATTTTGGTCATCTGTTTATTTTAATCATTCCAAATTTGGCCAGCGGGCCCAATCAAGCCAAGTTCCTGTGTTCTTTTGTCAGGTCCCTTTCATTCTTTTAAGCAGCTTTACTTCCTGTCATAACAGGAGGTTCCAGGCTCATAATCTTTCCCCTTTTCTCAAAGGGGTCCTGGTTCTTAGTGGAGCATGGTCTCAGGAAACCAAAACCTGAGTGCTCCATGTGCTCACCACCATTTGGGCTGTCACTGCTCCCAGGACCTCTCAGTGCCCAGAGCTAAGAACACACACTCAGCTAGAAACATAAACACATATACCTACATGCTTACATATGCTTACATTTACCCATATTTCTATATCTTTGTCTATCTGCATATGTGGATAACCCCAGGTTCACATGGATACTTTCAATTTAGCATCAGCATGGTTCATCTTAACCTTCCCCCTCTGTATTTCTACCTCTTTTCTAACTGTAAGAAACCCTTTGTCCTCAGCTCATTTACTCATTTCTTCATCCCCCATATCCCCCAAACATGGTCGAGTGCTCTTCTCACCCTGCACCAGCACCACCCTTTTGCACCCCAGCCATCATCAGGCTGCTTTCTCTTAGATTCTTTTCAACCTCTGGTATGCATCAGGTTGAATTCTGACATATTTTCTTGTTAAATCTGGGGTTCCCTGGGAGGTGAACATTGCTCCCTCAGAAATCACTTAGGATCTTCCTGAGGCATGGCAGGATGCACCCTCAAAGAAGCCTACTTGCTTCAGACATGATTTGGAAGAGGAAGAAGGCTGCCCCAGAGGGAGAGACCTCTTCCCACAGCAAGCTCACAGAAAGGCATGCATGTACCCTCAAGAAGACACCAGTGCAGCCACCTATGGTGGGGCTCTGGCCTCCAGGCAATTCCTTTTTGTTATTCCCTGACCATTTTGCAGGAAAGTTGAGTTTTTGGAGGCCATGAGAGGAGATCATATTTGTTTTAGTAAAGATGGGGCCTCTGACAGGGGCCTCCAGGGTTTGACTGCTCTGCAAGCACACCTCCCTGCTGCTTTGGGCCCCTTCTGTCCTGAGTCCCAGTTGCCATTAGAAGTGTGGTACACCTTGTCTGTCCATCAGTTCACTGCAGCATTCAGCATAGGTTTCCTGTGCATCTTTAGGGTTGGCCTTGCACTGGGCGCAAAGTTAGTAAGTACTCACTGGTAATGATTTCTGGGCCCACTGCCCACACCGATCAGCCAAGGTCAGCTCCACAGGTCAGTGGCTGTTAGCATTGGCTCTGCACAGAGCTAAGTAGTAGACATCAACCTGTAGCCACAATGTGAGAATTGCAGAGCCAACTCTAAGGACTTTAAAACATTATCTAAATTGTGAGTTTCATCTCAGTTTCTTAGTTTTTAAAGGAATTGCCAGTCATCTGAATAACCTTGAGCTTTGGGAATGTAATTCAGTATTTTCCTTCTAAAAAGGAACATCTGGCAGCATGTCTTCCCCTGCATCCTGTTTTGTCTGATTCTCCCGGGTGTGGTTTTTATGACCCAGAACTCTCTTAAGGGAGAGACACCAGCCCACTAATACAGGCTCTTAAGACTGGCAGGCTCCAGTCCTTTTTACTAACCAGCAGTGAGAGTTTCTATAATCCCGTTTTTGCCCAAGAAAAGCAGTTTGGCTCACCAACATGTCCACAGCAGGAAGAGGGCCCTTCTGTTTCATTTGGAATTCTAATTTCATTTTGTTTCCTGCCTGAAAGTTTGGTCTGAGAAAGCATTTGTGTTGTTTTAGTGTATAATTGGCTGGTTTTTAGTATATCCACAGAGTTGTGCAGCTATCACCGTAATTAATTTTAGAGCATTTTAATCACCCCCACAAGACACCCCATATCCTTTAGCAGTCATTACCCATTCTGTCTTTCCCAGCCTCTGGCAATCACAAATCCACTTTCTGTCTCTGGATTTGTCTGCTCTGGACATTGCATACAAATGAAATCACGTACTATGTAACCTTTTTTTTTTTTTAAATATGTCTTTATTGATTTCAGAGAGAGGAAGGGAGAGGGAGAGAGATAGAACATCAATGTTGAGAGAGTTATTGATCAGCTGCCTCCTGCACGCCCCTCACTGGGGATCGAGCCCACAACCCAGGCATGTGACCTGACCGGGAATTGAACCGCAATCTCCTGGATCATAGGTCGATGCTCAGCCGCTGAGCCACACCAGCCAGGCACTATGTGACCTTTTGAGGTAGCTTTCTCTTTATTTTAAGTCTTTACTTTCTTCTAACAACATTTTATAATTTTCATTTGTTAAAAGTACTCCAAAGTATGTTATGTATGTTATTTTCTTTTGTGCTATTGGAGTTTTCTTTTTTTGTTTGTTTTTTGTTTGTTAATCCTCACCTGAGGATATTTTTCTCATTGCTTTTTAGAGAGAGTAGGGGGGAGGGTAGGCAGCAGAGAGAAAGAAACATCAATGTAAGAGAGACACATTGATTGGTTGCCTCCTGCACACACCCCGACCAGGGCTGGGACTCAAACCTGCAACCCCAGGTACATGCCCTTGATGGGGAATTGAACCCAAGACCCTTCAGTGCTCAGGCTCAAACCACTGAGCAGTGCCAGCCAGCACTGGAATTGTTTTCTTGACTTCATTTTTGGGTGGTTCATTGCCAGTGTATAGAAACGCACACTGGTTTTTGTATAATGATCTTGTGCCCTGCAACCTTTCCAATGGGTTGCACCTTAACACAAAAGCAAGGCTGCCTCTGATAGCCCAAAATGCTGCTGTCCTTCTGCTTCCCCAGGCACAGACCTGACCTGTTGGAGACAAAGCTTTTTATGCTGATCCTTCCACCGAGGATTGCATTAAACTATCTCTTCCATCCCCACCCCTTTCTGAGATGGGCAAAGTCACCAAGATACACGGATTAAGGGATCTGTGGACACGTGGCCAAGTGGGAACCAGGTTTTGAATATCCCAGGAGCCCCTGTATTTCTCAGCCCAAACTAGAGTCCTGGAGGAGGCCCTACCTCCTTGATTGTGGCCAGGACAAACAGCCCTGCTTCCTTCTTCCGGGCCTTCCGGTGCTCTCATTAAGCAATGAGACAAAGCTCTCCAGGCATAACTGGAAAGAGAGCAAGCCCGCTGTCTGCCACTCTTGATATCTTGCCACAGAAAACATGTCTCATTTCCCAGACATCTGCAGGTAGTACAGAGACCTCTCCTGACAAGTCCTCTAGGAAAGGGGGATGCATCACTAAAGACCTTTATTTGGTGGCCCTCTTACATTCTCCAGGGCCTGCGAGTGCAGCATGGCATCCAAGGTCCTGGCAGGCTGCTAGGTGAGGTGTCCTATGGGTTGACCAGCCTTGCACTCACCATCCAGATGGAAGGGCTCCTTGGTGGAGTGGTCACCCTCACGTCTGTCTTGCACCTTTGACACCCTCTGGTCTTCCATTGTCAGCACTTTGCCCCCAAACCACACTTCCTGCAACCCCCTGCTTCCTCACCCAGGCTGCCTTACAGCCTTGGTGATTCGACAAGACTTCTGCATTTCTGTTTCAATTTGGAATCATTTCCCTTGTTCTCCAGGCCCATGGCTACTGAGGCCCAGATAACAACCCTCTCCTGCCCCCTGCTCCCTGCCAGCCTCACCACCACACCCCAGGCAGGCCTTTTTTTTTATCTTTTGTCTTGTGCTTATAGAGGAAAAGAGCAGTGGGTTCCGGTTGAAGCCACCAACACTGATCCATGGCCAGGCACCCAGCGCAGGTATGTGCCCACCTTGGAGGAGGAGAGTAGAGGGGCTTTCTCATACCCTTTCCAGGCCTCTGCACAGTGTCTGTTTACACAGCTGCCTAAGGCGACCCCACCAGTATGCTCTGGGCCTTCACCTGACACATGAGCTCTGGAAAACCACTTTAAAGAGCCTGTCAGGCTAGGGAGCTTCTCCCACCTGTAAGCCCTCCGTGGAGGTGGCAAGGGAACAGGCTTGGCTTGGTGTGGGAGTTTGTTCTCTGTGCCCAGCGATAGCTCAGTTGGTTCTGGCTGTCTCTCCAGAGCATTCTAGCCCCAGCACGCATTGGTATTAACCCTGATTTGCAGAGTGGCCTCAGTTCAGTGGCAAACTGCTGGTGAGCGGGGCCAAATGATGGCTCTGTCCAGACCTGTCAGGTCCAATGGGAGCCCGGGCAGGGCCAGAAACATTCTCTCGTGGTCCTTTTCCGAGTTATATTTGGCAGAGGTGTTTCTTAATGTGGCATTTAAAGGCAGGTGCAAAGAGTACCTTTCTGTGACCCCAGGCAGCATCCTAAATTCTGGGGGGTCGCCTTTGGCTTCGCTGCTTTCTTCTCACGTCTGTGCTTGTCCCTTGAGCCCAGCACTTGAGAACAGCTGTCCCTTGACTTCCCCAAAACATTAGTATACTCACTGGATTAATTCACAGACATAATCAGTTACATGGGAGTGTTGTTTAATCACATATAAAAATAGCAATAGCGAGACTCTGTATGTTTGGCTATAAAGAAAATATCTTGGGCTTTTTAAAAAAATATGCTTCCCTACAGAGTCTAACCTATGAGGGACATGAAATGGATTGCTGGGTTTAATTTGTCTGTAAAGTGCCTGAAAGCCTGAGCTGTTGCATTTCTGCCCACGAGGTCCAAGGGCGCTGGGCAAACCGACCTCTGTTCCCAGGTCTGCCAAGCCAGAAGCCCAAGGAGCAGCAGCGGAGCGTGCTTCGCCCGGCAGTGTTACAAGCCCCACAGCCAAAGGCACTCTCACAGGCCGGTAAGAAATGCAGCCCTGATGCCCAGGCTCGCATGGCAGAGTAGAGCGTTATAGAAGTCGCTTCTGGGACAGCCATGTCTCGACACGTGTGACTTTGGTCATATCTGCCGAATGCACTTAGAAATAGATAAAGAGAGCACTGGTAAAACAATCCTTTATATTCCTGGTAAGCCCAGGAAAGACAGGAGGCCAAGCCAGACTGCTGGTGTGAATGTGCTTTGTGCATGCACTGGCCTCATAAACGCCTCCATTCTCTGAGTGGTTCAGATCCGTTCCTACACGTTTACAGGCAGAACTCAACCCTGCAGTCTCAGAAACTCGAAGGGTAACTTTCACGTGTTTTTATTTTATTCGCCAACCTTCAGACATGACTCTTAAACCATATTTCCATTACATCCACATAAGCGGTGGTTTTCATTTTGTCCTTAATTTATGCGAATGAGCTCTTGTCTTCCTCTTGATCTTTCCCTATAACTCAGGAACTCTTCATTAGAAGCAACACAACATCCCACATGAGGGAAATAGTTAATATTTCTGAAGAGTTTTTTCATTACATGGGAAATTTTTTATGTAATGTTCACCAGTCAAAGCTAGATTTAAAGCTGTACGTGTCATGTAATCTCAACTATTTAAAGGACAAAAATGCATAGAATAAAGATGTTATTCGTAAAACTTGTTTTATAAAACTCATAATTGTTCCCCTAGTATTTGTTCTTTTAATCGAAGAAATTGTTGCTTTTAGTAATGATGCCAGGCCCTCTCTTAAAAAAGGAGAAATTATATACTGTTGGTCCAAATGGTGGCAGGAGGAAGCACTAGAAGTGGTCCAGCACTAACTCCACAATTCCCCCTCTGTCCATTTTCCCCCACAGTTCCAAGCAGTGGCACCAATGGGCTCAGTATCCCAGCAGACTGCACAGGAACAGCAACATCAACATCACCCAGCAACCCCACACAGAGAAGCCCACCTGACGAGGCGCCAGCACCTGAGGTCCGTCTGTGCCCAGGCAGGGAGTGCACCTCACAGGAGACTTCTTGGGCTTTGCTGAGCACGTAGACTGTTACCTACTCTGAGCGGTGTCAGTGTTGTACTGTGTTCAAGCTTTCTTGATTTGCTTAGCAGTATCAGTGCAGAACCACAGCTGATGAACGCCAAGAGTGGGGAGGGGTGTCTCCATGGTTCTGAGAGATAGATGCTATGAGCAAAGTTCTACCATAGAGTCCTGAATTGCCTGAGTCTAGCATGTCATTTCCACATGTCCTAGGGCAGTGTTCCTGCCAGCAGTCACTGCTAACCTTTGAGCCCTGTGGAGCCTCTGGGACCAGAGGGATGGCTTTTATTAATGAGGTCCTTGTACCATTTTATGTGGAAAATATCTTGCCTCCCTGTTTCCACACCCTGGCAACTCTGGGGATTCATACATGTGTGCCCTCTCCAGTGCCTGGGGAGTCAACTTAGAAATCATTTCATTTTTAAAAACAGCCCTTCAGGGTTCTGGAATTATATAGACCAGAAGCATCTGTTTTCCAGTAGTGCTACAGAGCAGCTGGGAAATGGGCATTTCATGCACCTGCTCTTGGGGTCGGCAGAGACAGATTTGGAATCCAATGTGTAGTAGTATACCATGCCTCATACACAAGCCAGACTGTCTGTGTGTTTTTTGCACTCCAGCCACTTCAGCAGATAAGTTGCTGCCAGAGGTTCTCTATCCTCTGCCTTCCCCACCCCCACCCCTGTGTACATGTTCAGGCTCAAATGGTGAAAATGATCATCTACAGTTCCATTTTGAAACTTCCTTGAGCTCTCCCCACCCTCAAACCAGTTAGCGGAATAGAAATTGTTTCTGTAACATATGCTTCTTAGAAACTTTGGTAGCTGGGTCTCGGGGCAGTCAGCTGTGCAGCTCTGCACTGAGGGAACCGTCCTGTCTTCTCCATGTTCCCGGCTGCCGAGAGCCCACCCTGTCCAGTCCCGGGCTCTGCCTGCCTCACTCTCCCTGTTGGTTCTAGCCCTTCCTCGGATGTTCCTCAGCCCAGGGACCCTGGCCAAGGAACATGCAGCGGTGCTGTAAGGTGGCTCAGCTTGCTCATCAGAGCTAATATGTCCCTTTTTTTCAGTTGTCATTGTTCTGTTTAACTAGGAGAAAGAGCCCCAGAAAAATGAGTCTAGCAATACTTCTGAGGAGGACAACTGTGAGAAAAAAGAGCAAGCTGCACAGCAAGCATTTGTGTTTGGGCAGAACTTGAGGGACAGAGTTAAGGTATGTGCTCGGAAGGCTGAGTGAGCTGTTGAACTTGGGGATTGATCTTTTTATGCCTCTCCCAGGTTCAACAGGAGTCTGCTCCTTAAGGGTGGGACACAGAGACTGTGGGATAGCCCTGTGACTCACAGCATGCCGGCAGCTACTTGGTGTGCATACTTCCCATACTCAGCTGCTCAGCCACCCAGGATGCCTGCCACCCCTCCACCCTGAGTGAGATTCAGCAGTGGCTCCTGGCTACAGGGGACAGAGAGGCAGCCAGTGAGAGTTTTTTGTTTCCTTCAAGGTTTTCTATCTCAGCACTAGCAGCATTCAGACTGGATTGTGTTTAGTTGTTAGAGAACTGACCTACTCACCACTGTGGGTTGTTGAGCAGCATCCCTGGCCCCTACCCTCTAGATACCAGAAATATACCCTCCCAGTTGTGACAACCACACGTGTCCCCAAATACTGCTGAATGTTCCCCATGGGACCAGATTATTCCTTGACTGAGAAGCATCACCTTATTTTTCCAAAATAGGGCAGGTTGAAAGATATTTTCTCTCTCACAGGAGCAACAGTATCTGTCACCTCTTGGCTGCCCCCTAGGCAGGTGGATCCAGTCTGGGGACTGAGTTGGGATGAGGAACATCTGGCAGTGGCAGGGATCTCAGCTTTGCACCCTGTGTCTTAGCGCTCCAGAAAGACTAAAGTGGGCAGCACTACCTTCTCGCAGCCACAGGGACGGAATGTTCTTCGGTGCCATTTCTAGCAGTTCATCTGGCATGTCTGGGACATCTGTGGTTGTCACACTAGGGAGTAGGTACTCCTGGCATTGAGTGGGTAAGGGTCAGGGATGCTGCTCAATACCCCACAGTGCCCAGGATGATCCAGTCCCAATGTCAGCGATGCTGAGGGTGAGAGACCCTGAAGTATAGAAAACAGCGGGTCATGCCATCTGTGTTCTCCTGTGGTGTCACTGTCCAAGAGAAACAGATGCCCCTGGAGATGAAAATAGATGTTGATATCATGTGACTTTAGCCAAAATAATGAGTCCCTTGGGGACTGCTCCCTCCAGGGAGGAGGACGAAAGTAAAGGGATGGCCTTGAAATCCACCAGCACTGGGGGAGTGGCCTGGCTAGCCACCTGGTTGAGTCTGCTCCTCAAGTTCAGGGGAACTCTGCCTTGACATTGGGGCAGAGGCAGTGTCTCCTAGAGGTCCAGGGCTCATGTGATCTCTGAGGTCTTGTTCTGAGCCCACGCTTCCTTGCTCACAGGACCAGGTCCATCCTTCCACTCCTCAGCGTTCCCAGGAGCAATGTGTTAGGTCACATGTGACGGAGCAGACATGGCAGCTGGCATCAATGAAGCCCTCAAGAAACATTGCTTTTATGTTCATAATAAACCCTTAAAACACCAGATTTATAAGTGTTCTGTGATCTCAGAAGTATGGTTGAAAATGCTAATGAGATGCCAGCCTGAGTGTGTTTTTAAATTTTTTTAAACAAGGTAGAAGCAATTTCCTAACACTTTATGAATTGCTTTTGTACCTTAACCGTTAAAAGCAGAAGTTCTAGAATTGACTGCAGCTCCAGCCCCCAATGCTCGCACACACAAACCCCTGCCTGCACATTGATAGGATTTGTGTGTTGAGCTCTGCAGAGGGGTTGTGCAGCCAGGCCAAGTTGTAGAGGTCCAGAATGTGTTGTTCTCTGAGTATAGGTGTTTCTATTTCCCAGTTAATAAATGAGAACACTGAAGCAGCTGACATGGAGAATGCCGGACACCCCAGTTCAGAAACGCCAACCGCAACCAACTATTTCCTTCAGTATATCAGCTCCAGGTATGTGTCTTGGGCCCTGGGCCCAGCCTCAGGTAGGATGAGCTGCAGCCTCAGAGGCACTCAGATCATCCATCTGCCCTGTCTCAGGCCCAGGGAGGAGACAGAACCCAGACCAGAAGCCAGCCTAGTCCTTCCTCAGGGGACAGGATGAAGGGGAGGGGGCAGAGTCCTCCAGAATCCCAGTCGCCCTCCAGTCCCTCCCTTCTTTCCCACTTGGCACAGCTATAGAGGGGCCAGGACAGTGGATTTTGATGGACAACAGGCAGGACCTGAGTTCTGTGGGATTGTCCAGCCCAGACCTCAGAGTGACCTCTATCACCTGGGCCTCGTGCCCAGAGCAGAACCCAGTGGGCTGGTAGTGGCTCAGCTGCCTCTTGTTACCCACCAAGGTCCACCCCCGAATTCACAGCCCATCTTCTCTTCAGTTTAGAGAACTCGACCAATAGTGCCGATGCCACCAGCAACAAATTTGTATTTGGCCAGAACATGAGCGAGCGCGTATTGGTGAGTGGCCCCTGTGGGGACTGTTCTTCCTAGGCCCCATAAGCTTTTAAGAGCTTTCCAGCCCAGATCAAAGGGACATGGGTATGATGGGTATGGCTGCCCATTGTCTCTTGGGAAATTAGGATGATTTCAATTGCAAGTAAGAGAAAGAAGACCCAGCTCAGTCAGACTCAGCTTAAAGCCAGGGGTAGGGTTATTTGCTCTCCAGGAGCCAGTGTTTCACTTCCTGTCTTTCCCTATCCTAGGGCAGGTTCCCCTGAGTCACAAGCCATGTTTTTTCCTAGCCTAAGGCTAGCTGCATTGACAGCCATCAGACCACAGTCCTTAGCCACACACTGCTGGGGCCCCCCTGAGCCACTTCTGGAGCCAAGGATGGTCAGCTCCGCCTGACAACAAGGCTGCAGCACAGAGTGGGGGACGAGTGTGGTGGCTTCAGAGGGGACCCTGTGTCCCATGTACTCCTGACACATCACAGCCAGGATTGGTTCTGGAATTGTTTACATGCTTCCTCACTTTATCCCTTTTCCCAATCAGGTGGGCACAGCCCTGTTGTGTCCATTGTCAGTGTGGCTAAGGAGCTGTTTTGGGTCCAACCAATTCTGTCCCTGTTTATCTCAATCTACATTACATTAAGGAGCCGCCTGCTTCTTTTCTTGAGCATCAGTGCTGTTCTTTTTCTGTTAAAATGAAATAGTCAAAGCCCTAGCCAGATTTGCTCAGTGGTTAGACCATCAACCCACAGATTGAAGGGTCGCAGTTCATTTCTGGTCACGGGCACGTACCTCGGTTGCAAGCTCGATCCCTGGCCCCGGTTGGTGGGGGCACATGCAGGAGGCAACCAAGCAATGTGTCTCTCTCACATCGATGTG